AATTCAGTATTTTTGCACTCCTCCCTCCCTTCTTTTCACTGCTTATTCGTTTTCTTTGCTTTTCGTCTTGCTGCTTCAACGCTTGATGTGCTGATATGAGGCGGCAACTTGGACCGCTGCGAAGTAGCAACAGTTTCTATATTTATTCTATCCGTCCGTCTCGAAAACTGTTCAGAAAGTGAATGATTCTGAATGTATGAAAACTCACTTCAAAGAACCTGTCTATCGGTCTCCCAATTTATCACCTACATATGACAGCAAACTTCCCATTTTACAAAATCCATACCGCATACTGGAAAAATAAAATGTAGTAAGTTCAGTATGTCTGGTATTATGTGGGACCCACCCAATGCACCAGAAAGTTACACATTAATATTACGTTTACCAAGACTGTATAAACGAATTACGTAAATTGATACGCATACTACACTGCATAACAAACTAGACATCGCCTTTACCTGTAAAACGACATACGCCAATGTATACGTTGGTCATGAATTCCGAGAGTGACTATAAGTTCATCACGAAGTGGTTAGCTTTGATTTCGGACAACTCGCCGTCTTGCAACTTCGCAAAAAGAATTCTACGTAGGAACTACGACCCATGGTCAAACACCTGAAGTCTTATCATATCTTCTACATTTAATGTTCATGTTTTACAGCCATACAGTTGAACAGAGTGGACTGTAGCGTATTACACTTGGTATCGCGGCGGTGCCAAAGATGGCGTAAGTTGGCAAAAGCCAACCGAGCCTTTGGTATCCGTTCCGAGATTTCATCGGCCACTGAGCCTTCAAGGTTGATCCAAATTCCCTGGCAAAAGAAGTGTTCGACGCTTTCAACCACTTCACTCTTTGCTGTTAGTCGGGACACTGTTGAAGACCAGTCCTGAAGCTACAATTTGCATTTGGGTGGCGAGAAACGCATCTCAGACATTCTCAAATTGCAACTCAAGGTGTCCAGAAGACTCTACATCTTGTCAACGTCTTCACCTAACAGGACTATGTCATCTGAGTGTTCTAGGTCTACTGAAAATTCTCCTGTGATCAGATCAATCCCTGTGTGGACAGATGACGAGAGGGAGACCTCTATAAGAACATCCAAGGTAAAACTGAATAGGAATGGAGAGAGTGGGCATTCTTGACGGACACCACTCGACGTAAACAACTCACCCGATATCTCACCATAAGCTTTAACACGCCCACACATTTTTGAGTTAACAGCCTTTAATAGGATGATGTACTTACCCGGTACCCGTTTCAACGACATTGTCATAAGACTTCTAGATCGACGGAGTCAAATGTCTCCTCTAGGTCGAAAAACAGCCAATGATGGGTGTAGTCAAATGTGCCTGTTCCAGAACTTGACGGAGTGTGAATGCCTGGTCGATACACCAACGGCCAGGTTTGAAGTCTGCCTAGTTTCCTCGGATTTGTTTCTCAGCTCCACTTAGGCGTCTAATGATTATGAAACCTATCGGTGAGGAGGCTAACAACCGTTGCTGTTTTTCTGAAGTGCTGCAATGCAAATAATTAATATGAAGTTAAGCTACCTAGCAACAGGCGCTATAAGTGTTTCCATCATGTTTATGTTTGGATACGTTGAGACCATAAGATCTTGTTGGGCATCCACGATGTCAAGGTCCAGAGAACCATAGACGAAATTACTACTTTTTTGTCAAAACCCTTAAAAATGTAAGTTACAGATCCAATGTGTCTTACCGCTTGTACTTTTTATTGGGTAACGAGAAGGCAACTTCATCCGCATTCACCCTGTCCTTGTAACCAGGATGTTTATGTACTACAGTTTTCGATTGTATTGCCTCTGTCCAGGAATCTAAATTCATCATTAAAATAATTGTAGAGAACATTACCACACTCCATTAGTTTTTCGCAATCTATAATTGCCCAATCACTCTGTGGATGTATGCAGCACCTAATGTCTTCAACATCAATATCATCTTCGAATAGGCGTAGGTGATCGCTAAACATCCACTTGCTGGGTACGATGATAACTTCGTTGCGTTCTTTAAGAACCAGAAGATAGAAAGTATCACCTGATGAAACCTTGCAAAATAAATTACTAGAATTTAGTTTACTTGAATAAAAAAAGCATTCTTATTCATGGCAGTATTACTTCAGTGTTTCGTGCTAATCAATTATTTAGTGCGGAGGTAAATACAACCATTAGGACTTAGGAGCAGAAACACCTCCCAAAGCAGACAGCGAACAGGAATACAGAACTATCACGATTGTCGGAGAGCAGTCAAACTACTTGGGACAATTTCTTTGGAGTCTAGTTGCCTACATCAGACGTTAATTGAAAAGTATGTGATAGAGGAATCACAACCTCATAATTCTTTGCAGGGATGATGAAGCATTTGCAAGTAATCTCGTCTATATCGACCCGAACGGGCAACAAGTTGAAGTTTCGTATGTACAGGGGCTTCGGTGATTACTTCGACAAACTATTTGCCTCAAGTAACATAGGAATCTTCAAATGTTCAGTCGTCAGTCATGAAACCGTTTGGGTCGATATAGACGAGATTACTTGCAAATGCTTCATCATCCCTGCAAAGAATTATGAGGTTGTGATTCCTCTATCACATACTTTTCAATTAACGTCTGATGTAGGCAACTAGACTCCAAAGAAATTGTCCCAAGTAGTTTGACTGCTCTCCGACAATCGTGATAGTTCTGTATTCCTGTTCGCTGTCTGCTTTGGGAGGTGTTTCTGCTCCTAAGTCCTAATGGTTGTATTTACCTCCGCACTAAATAATTGATTAGCACGAAACACTGAAGTAATACTGCCATGAATAAGAATGCTTTTTTTATTCAAGTAAACTAAATTCTAGTAATTTATTTTGCAAGGTTTCATCAGGTGATACTTTCTATCTTCTGGTTCTTAAAGAACGCAACGAAGTTATCATCGTACCCAGCAAGTGGATGTTTAGCGATCACCTACGCCTATTCGAAGATGATATTGATGTTGAAGACATTAGGTGCTGCATACATCCACAGAGTGATTGGGCAATTATAGATTGCGAAAAACTAATGGAGTGTGGTAATGTTCTCTACAATTATTTTAATGATGAATTTAGATTCCTGGACAGAGGCAATACAATCGAAAACTGTAGTACATAAACATCCTGGTTACAAGGACAGGGTGAATGCGGATGAAGTTGCCTTCTCGTTACCCAATAAAAAGTACAAGCGGTAAGACACATTGGATCTGTAACTTACATTTTTAAGGGTTTTGACAAAAAAAGTAGTAATTTCGTCTATGGTTCTCTGGACCTTGACATCGTGGATGCCCAACAAGATCTTATGGTCTCAACGTATCCAAACATAAACATGATGGAAACACTTATAGCGCCTGTTGCTAGGTAGCTTAACTTCATATTAATTATTTGCATTGCAGCACTTCAGAAAAACAGTAACGATTGCTAACATTCTCACCGATTTCTGTAGCATTCAACAACGACGAGACAGCTGGATACATGAAGACAATTATAAGTAACTGAAAATAACTAACCTTTCTCAAGTACATATTAATGCATGTTGGAGGACAACGCAAATTACAATAAGCAGATGTACTCCTTAATTCAAAGGTTGGTTAAAGGTAAACTCGATAGCAGTAGTATGCTGCATGCTGACAACCCTATGATATACCCTTTGGAAACCGAGGAGTAAATGGATATCCTTGAGGTCTCATTAAAAGATCTCGGTTTTCGAGATGCCTTTGTAAGGATAATTACGCTTCACATATTTATTTTTTAGTCTGCAGAAATGTCTCGGAAGGTTACCTTGGATACAAAGGGATCCGTGAAGCATATGCTACCTGGACTACTATCGCCGGCACTAGCCAGTCGTTACACGCTGATGGGAACACATAACAAGCTTGAATTGTGTAAATGCTCTTTCTACAAGATTGTTAGACGTAAGTACTTTATCCAGTTACAACTGACCCATTTTTTAAACTATACTTCTTGCTGATTTTAGTCGCCCGGGCATAAGGGAACCTGAACTCCTGAAGGAAATGGATGATGTTACTAAGGTATTCTTTCATGACCTTCGAGATCGCATTTCCAAGCGTGGGAGCCGGAATCAAAAAGAAGTATTACCATACTTTTAACTGCACATATATTTCAATGTGCATTTAAAGACATACAATTAATTATTTCTTTCTTTTCATTTGAGAAAAATAGCCAGATGCAGAATGAGACCGAAACAATAAACACCTTGAGTTTTTCGCAATTATAAATTTATTTTCAATAACCTTTAGAATGAATACCTTTTATGATTCTTATTCTTGGCATTTTCGGGTTGAATAAGTGCTGGAAAAGAAGTAGAAGCTAGACACTAATCCGGATTACTTGGGTATCGGGAAAGCACAATTTTAAGACAACGTCTAACTAAACATGTCCGTTTAAAATGTGATTGAAATTATATATAATGAAATAAATTAAATCAATTTTTCTTATTTCATGCCTTTGTGCATTTAAATTGGGAATGAAATTGAAAATGATAGGGCTAATCCGAAAATTAAGGGAGTTTGGTGCATACTGAAGTGGGAAGAGTCGATAATCCAGGGGAAATTATGCAGACTTAAGGTGGAAAAACCGATGTAAAAGAAGAGAAGTGGACAAGGTAGAAATACGAAAGCGACTTTTGGTGGGAAAAAGCGATAAAAAAAGGGGGGAGGCGTAAAAGGGGGAAGTTGGTTGCATTTCCCCACTAATGTCGTTTTATTTTACCATGGAGCTTTCCCCTTATTTTTCCATTATTAGGATGATTTTTCCCTTTTTGGTCTGTATGGGTGGCTACTACTCTTGCTCATCTGCTGTAAGATAACAAAACCACTACTTGGAAGAATCAAAGCCTTTTAAAATAGGAAATGAAGGAAATATGAACAAGTATTATAAAAACGTACTCAAAGTTTTTTTAACGTAAAGTCTTATGCAAAACTGGATGTTTCTACTTTTAAGTTGCAATAACTCACACCCATAAAAATCCACCTAGCATGTTGGTTCATTCCAAGTCTTCTTTTTCCGCAGATTACTACCTAGGTGAAGAAAGCCAGTTGGTTACTTTACTTAAAATCCTTTGGAAACAGTCCAAAACCTAAAAAAAACGACACCTTTTTTCTGTATACTCAGTTTTTCAGACACAAAAACTGGTGGTTTACTGATTCTATGCTGAGAAACCAGTTAAGCGAAAGCCTCTTTTATTCCACTAACAGCCATTTGAGACCTACCCGAACGTCCTTGAGCACTTGACGTACGACTGACTTCCCGCCATGAAGTTCCGTTATCCAATGTCTTTCACAAAGCTAGCGTCAACAAATAACTTCTTCACGTTCGCTTCTGGATCTTACGGAACGATGCAGTTTGTCTACTCACTCGCCTGCTGTAGTTTTGTCAAGCCTCACGGACAGTTGGGTGCTGATTAAGTTCCAGATAAAGGGCTAATTTATCTTTCTCTGATAAGTCTGTCACTTTTTAGGAATTTTCTCCGCACAAGCTTGACAGGTGCAGGGGCCAATCACTAGTTATTCACCCGTGCGACATGCTCACGAATATGAGACCAAGGAAGGACACAACAGCGTAGTCAGATGGGATGGTATATTTGCGACGCCGTGCCGAAGTGCAGATGCGATCCGGCCAACTGGCTGCAGAGTCGATTACTGTCGGTGCACAGTAATACGACAGCATGACAAATGGTTGGGATGCTCAACCATGTGCCTTTAGGTCGGCAAGCCCGATAAAACTGTGAGGATCTGGAACAATGTTGAATCTCGTCGAACCCTAGTCTGTTGATTCTGGGAGTGTGGCTCTACAACTTATTGTCATCAGAAATCAGAACAAGCTTCTTCCAGATCATTTTAACCACTTGCTTTCATTCTTGATTCATGCAGGCGCAGTTTTAAAGGCTTTGGAATTTTTAGTTCTGAGTAGGAAACAAGCCACTATTGCAGGTGTGACATGATGAGTGATATGGGTACTGGCTCACAAACAATGTCTGTCTTCTATGTAACCAATTGTAAATAATAGCGTTTTACATGTTTGTGAGTTATTGTGATGGAAGCAACTGTGAAGTTTGTGTCCTGCTTGTCTATGTTGCGAAGGATTCAGTGTACGATGCACCAGCAATAAACAGTGAACACATCTATCCTATTGCCATACAAATTTTGTGCTCAGCTGTTTACGTGCATTACAAAAGGATGAATACTGATGTGAAAATTTGTGGTGCAAGACACAAGCAAGAAGGCTGCAGGATATGTGGAGAATGAGTACTTTATGAAATAAAACTCATATTCAGTATTAGAATGCGGGCTTAAAAAGACAGAAAGTTCATATCTAATGCGTACACCGGTGGGTACAACGTGATGATATAGGACAGTGACCACTTCGTGCATTATTTCAAACTGACGAAAATTTAAAAAAGACCTGAGATTTCCTGGAGAGAATCAGAGCTTCGAAAATTCTTTCAGAATAATGGATGAAGCTAAGACTTATTACCATTAGTTTCGGTGTCTTCTTTTGAAGCAGTCCCCTGAAATGGGGAGTGTTTTGTCATAACAATATCTGTGTTTGAGGCATCAAATATAAGCTAGAAAATGAATAGAATAGTGTGAAACAGAGTGAAGGCTGTGAGGGCTAACTGCAACAAACATAAAATCCCCCTAAGATAAAAGTGCTCTTTTGTCATCTTTCACTGAAAAAAGTAACAGCTTGAATTTTGCAAATCAGGCTAATTTGAATAAGAGTATCATCTGCTGTATTTCATCTTTTCAATTTATTCCAGTTAAGATACATTACCCAAGGTCGCGTGAATATGAAACGGACAGACTTTGGTTGTATTGTGTTCTCTCAGCTAGCTGAGTTGTTTAATCGTGAAGCTTTCATCTTGCTAGACGACATCATCAGCACTAACTTCAGTATGAAGTGAGCTGTCAATATCTCTCCGTGAGTGATCTAGTAGTTTACCCTGACGAAATGGTCTGTGATTGGTTGTTCCCTTCAATTGTTGTGTCATTGATTGTATAGACTTCCGTGTTGGTTGTTCCTCTGCTTCACCTCTGACCTTTCTGTCGCTTATCATCTTTCGTATTGGTTGATAGATCGGGTCTATGCCTACACATCTGTTGCTTGCTGACTGACCTGAATGCCAAGCTTCTAGGAATTCTCTGACATTCTTTGTGTTCCCTCTGTCCGAAATTTCTACATTGTCGAAATTGAATTCATGTGCATAGTTGTTATCCACCTGCATTGAAATGAGTGATGAAGTGTCGTGGCGTTTAACCGCCAATTGGTGTTCATGTAGACGAAGGCGAAGAGGGAGGCCACTTTGTCCAATGTAGTGTTGAGTACAATTATTGCAGTTGATTTTGTAAATGATATTCAGTTTGTTTTCTTTGATTGTTGCATCTTTTGGTCCGCGCAATAGTGTTTGGAGGGAATTTGTTGGTTTATGAGCCACACCAGTTCCGAGTGGTTTCAGCAATCTTGTCAGCAAGATATACAAACAGATAAAAGGAACTCCAATGGGATCACCGATATCCGGATTAGTTGCAGAAGCTGTGATGCAGAGGCTGGTAGCCATTATTCCACCTGTGATCAAACAAAAAATATGGATTCAGTATGTTGACCACACTTTTGTCACCATTGAAAAGGATGACATAAAAAACACCCACCGCTTGATCAATGACGTCAGATTCACAATGACGAAGGAGCCAAACAACCAACTACCATTCCTGGATGTTTTGGTCAGTAGGACAAATGCCGGAAACCTGGAAACCCAAGTGAACAGGAAGCCAAAACACACTGAACAAATCCTCAACTACAACAGCAACCACCCAACGACACACAAAATCTGTTGCATGCAGACTATATTCAAGAGAGCGAGAACACACTTCAGTACAACGACTACACGGAGAAACGAAGAAAATTACTTGTTGTCCACCCCAAAGAAGAACGGCTACCCATGAAACCTTATCAGAAGATGCCTATCCCGTTCATCATCAACTACAAAGTTATCGACAGAAATCAACAAATGCATCGTCCTACCATGCATAAAGAATATATCAGAAATCACGACAAGATTGCTGAAACCACTCGGAACTGGTGTGGCTCATAAACCAACAAATTCCCTCCAAACACTATTGCGCGGACCAAAAGATGCAACAATCAAAGAAAACAAACTGAATATCATTTACAAAATCAACTGCAATAATTGTACTCAACACTACATTGGACAAAGTGGCCTCCCTCTTCGCCTTCGTCTACATGAACACCAATTGGCGGTTAAACGCCACGACACTTCATCACTCATTTCAATGCAGGTGGATAACAACTATGCACATGAATTCAATTTCGACAATGTAGAAATTTCGGACAGAGGGAACACAAAGAATGTCAGAGAATTCCTAGAAGCTTGGCATTCAGGTCAGTCAGCAAGCAACAGATGTGTAGGCATAGACCCGATCTATCAACCAATACGAAAGATGATAAGCGACAGAAAGGTCAGAGGTGAAGCAGAGGAACAACCAACACGGAAGTCTATACAATCAATGACACAACAATTGAAGGGAACAACCAATCACAGACCATTTCGTCAGGGTAAACTACTAGATCACTCACGGAGAGATATTGACAGCTCACTTCATACTGAAGTTAGTGCTGATGATGTCGTCTAGCAAGATGAAAGCTTCATGATTAAGCAACTCAGCTAGCTGAGAGAATACAACATAACCAAGACCATCCACCTGAGCTGCAAATATTCTCCATCATTTCAATGTGTTGTGATTGCTATCGATTAAATCTGTTTGACTGTTAACATGAAATTTTAAACTTGCTATACGAAGCGAGATGGGTCTGCAGGGTACTATTTTGTGGGGAAGTCTTTTCATGAGTGTGGGTTGACTAGTAACCTTTCCTTGCTAAAAATCCAGCCTTGATTCTTTGCATCGAAACATTTTTAGCCTGATGCATTGGTCGGCACTAGTAATAGACTCTGTTTGACGGAATAATACCCTGAATTTCCTTGCCTTTAAAGGTGTTCACCACATTCGCCCAAACCTCCGCCTTTTTTCCGTTTTCAGCCCCTGAAAACGGCTGATGCCTTGGCTATTCATGAACTTAAACCTCGTCGGCGTGCCCAAAAGAAGTATGTGCAGTCGCCGTTTCACCATGGCCATGACGTTCTCCCACCCAAATCAATTTCCTTTTTCCTTCTGCTAACTTGACCTTTGAATTCTTCCCCATCAAGATCATCGGCATTATAGTTGCCCTCGCCTCGATTTGTTTCCGGTGTTATTTCTCTTTATTGTCTCAGTTTCTTCATAAAGCATTGACTTCGTCTTGGCCAACTTGTTTGGTCCTGCTACAAAACAATGAATTAATTTACCACCTTCACAACCCTTGTCACTGCTTTCTGAGTCGTATAACTTTTATGAACCATTCCACGTATTGCGTGGCCTTCCTTGTTGTCATGCGTACTTCAACCTTATCATAATCACAAATGCCAATGTCACGATACGTTTCATTATTGTTATTATCGTTATGTAGTGTTTGTCATTGCCAATACCAAGAAGGAACCCAGACCTGAAGTCGTCGTGGTTTTGACAAATTCCGTTAGTTTAGTCCTGCATCGTTTACTGATAAGTTTAAACGAAACTTCAGCATAACCTTCATGTTAAGCGTTTATTTGGTGCCACATAACCCATCACTTCATGATATTTAGTTTCGCTCATCATACGTATCACGGGTTGTGTTCAGTATAGCGTGTAGATGCTCCATTTTCAGGTCCTTCACACATTTTGGCCTTTGTGTGTGTGTGAAATAGTAAAAACAAAAAGGTACCATATGATAATTATTAATTGCCGTTTCGTCTTACTGAGCAGCACGTGTCAGAGATAATGACCAATATTGCTGCTACAAACATGCTTTAGGGGGAAGCGTTCAAGATTGGATTGAATTTTACCAAAGTTTTATCACTTTTGGGCACAAGCCAAATAAGCAGTGACTGCTTCTCAGGTTCAGTCGTTTCACCCCCTTAACAGCTTTATCACTTTACCTCCTGATCAGCACTTAGAAGTGAATGTTTTCTTGAAGGCGTTTCTCAATTATTAGACACTTTCCAACTGCCACTCTGAAAGTGACTTTAAAGCTCTCCTGCAGGATGACCTCACCAGAACGAGTTTTCAGTCTCACGGGATATAATCTTTCAGATATCATATGCACACGCATG